TAAATAAACATCCGCGAAATTCGCCCGCACTGCAATAACAGTTTGGCGTGTTGGATATTAGACGTTTTGTTGCGTAGTATCGCTAAGTATTTTTACTCGTTATTTGTATTTTGACTCGCCCTACGGGCTCGTCAGAATACGGCACAACTCGTAAAAATACTCAGCGATACTACACAACAAAACGTCTAATAAGATATATATATTCTTGGAAAAAGTACTTCCTTTCACAATTCTTGTTAACGTTCAAGGCACTGTCTCCATTCATTCGGCCGGTGGAAAGCTAAACAGTGGCTCCAATATCCTCATCACTGGATTATGTTATTGGCCGGGAATTGAGTTGCGGTGCGAATTTGGCGATGTTGGTACAGCAAAAGGCTACAAAGTCAACGAAACGAAAGCCATTTGTACCGTTCCTTTGTTAACTACAAGAAAACAGCAATCCGCCTTTTATATCTATCCGAATGAAAATAGTGAAACAAGGTTCGCACGAGAATTTGACTTAGGTAAGTGTCATGGAAACTAAAATCTTTTCAACTTCATTGCGTTCAGTGGATTGAAAATTTCGATTAAATTGTTTTGCGTGTGAACAGTCTTATTTTTTTGACGTTCCTAAGCTAGATTCAATAATAAGGTATCATTTATGACTAGGAAGTTTTAAAACATTTTGTCCTCCTTAATATCTCAATAATTGCAGGTTGGTTTCCATGTTGTACGTTTTTGTTGTTGATGAGTGTTATTGTATTTCTTAATCTCCTTCTTCTACTTCTTGCAATGCTGTTATTCTAATCAGTGTAGCCACGGTCAGTAGAGACGATTCAACCACTGATAAATTTAGATATGACTATATCTACAAAATAACAGAATCATCATTCGTTTAACAAGCAAGAGAAATGATATGCCCTGCAGTAATTGAGCATTTGTCTTGTTGGATTTCAGAGCCTGTCTTCCTTGATGATGCCGCTGTGCAGAGAAAGACTCCTGAAACATGGACCACGGGAAACCGAGTGAACATCTCCTGGGATTTCTCAAACCTGGCATCGGACTTGTCTGTTACAATAGAGATTATAAACCTATTTTACAATCAAAGTGGAATAGAATTTCATGATTACACTACTGTCGTGTTTAGCCAACCGAACACGGGGAAAGCCGAGTTTGATCTGCCACTTATGGAAAATTTGAGGTGAGCTCATACAACGGAGAAACTGCCCTTTATTCCTTAGTTTTTGTTATTTGTGGCAACAGATTGAGCTAAATCGAGTTTTGTTATAATGCCCAGTTACATATTAACTCTTGTTCTTAGGCCATCGTAGCTTGATTAAGAAAATAAGACAAACAGCGGTGATAAACATTGTATTCCAATGCATTTTATGTAGAACTTGACGTTTCTATGCTAGTCAACATACATTTTCAAAAGTGAACCGTTACAATTGTTGAAAACTATATATAGTGAATGTAAGAGGTCTGGAACCTAGACTGAGACAAAAAGAATCTACAGCTAGAATAACAACAACTTCTCAATACTAACATTGACATTAAGGGAAGGCTTTAGCTCTTGAATGAACGAAGTCTCTTTTACAATTTTACAATGAAAGTCAGTTTTTCCCGACGCTAAAATGTCAAAATGATCCCATTTAATGTTGTGACCAGTGGTCTTCACATGATCAGCAATGGCTGATGAATGGTCACTTTTAGCTAGGGCCTTAAAATGTTCTGTTTTCCTGTCATGGAGTCTTCGTTTTGTTTTGCCAATGTAGAACTCATCACAATTCCAGAAACCAGCTTTATAGATAACCTTGGACCTTTGAGATCGGTTCAAGCTATCTTTGTAAGGAAAAAAGGATTTGATGCGGCGTGTGTTTTGGAATATGATCTTGAGATTGACGAAAGTGTAGAAATTGTAAACGCGGGATTTCAGACGTTTCGTGACTTGGTTACTGTGAAGACCTAACTAGGGTAACACAACTAAGATATCTTTTTTGGGGATTGTAGCTTGAACAGGGTTATTTGGTTTGTTCTTATTTTTGTTCAATACATCATTAATGTTGAACGTGATAACACCTTGAGGGTAACCATTTTGTAACAGGAGCTTTCTCAGATCTTTAATAGCGGCCTGTAATAAAGACAGAGAGGAGCAAATTCGGAAGCATCGATTGCCGGGTGAAAGCACAGATGAGGTTAATTTTGTATCTGCAAGGTGTGAATGAATCCCATTTGGTGTAAAGGTCTGTGAATGTCTTCTTCCGGTAGACAGATGTACAGAAAGTGTTGTCAGGGCAGCGTTTTAGAAGAGTATCTAAAAAAAGAAATCTTATTGTCTTGTTCGAATTAAATTGTAAAGTTGATGCTATTGTGTCGACTATTTATAAAATTTAAAAACTCATTAGCATTGTCTTTGTTCTCAAACAAGGGGAAGGTGTCATCTACGTATCTAAACCAGAGTGAAGGACTGAATCTACTGATCGTCAACCATTTTTCTTCAAAGTGGCACATGAAAATGTTAGCCAAAACGGGGCCTAAAGGTGAACCCATAGCTACACCATCAATCTGGTCATAGTATTGACCATCAAATATAAAATGACTCTTCTTAGGGACAAACTGCAAAAGATCTTTCAAAACAGAACGAGGTAACTGCGGGGGATCAGGGAGAGACTACAATGTGTCCAGACAAATCAGTATTGCTTCATCAAGCGGCACATTCGTAAAAAGAGAAGCGACATTCAAAGAACACAATCATTATTCCATTGTTATGTTTGTATGTTTTGGCCCAATCTTCAAAACTAAATGAATCTTTCACCGTGTACTGATTGGTGGAAATTGGTTGAAGTATGCCAACGAGATAGGAAGCAAGATTGTAGTTGTAGGTGTTCACAGAGGAAACCATAGGCCGCAAAGGGCATCCAGGTTTGTGGACCTTTGGCAGATCATACACTGAAACACCAGGAAAAGATCCACTGGGTAGAATCTTGTGGAGTGTTACATCATCAATAATTCCGCGTCTTCAGTTTTGATTTTGCGGAGATATGCAGAAAGACTATCTTCTCTAGATTTAGTAGATTCATTGTAAAATTAAAGAGACTTTGTTCATTCAAGAGCTAAAGCCTTCCCTTAATGTCAATGTTATTAGTGAGAAGTTGTTGTTATTGTAGCCAGTACTTCTTATTAGTCTAGACATGTACTGCTGTAGATTCTTTTTGTCTCAGTCTAGGTTCCAGACCTCTTACATTCACTATATATGTTGTATATTGACTAGCATACGAAACGTCAAGTTCTATATAAAATGCATTGGAATACAATGTTTATCGCCGCTGTTTGTCTTATTTTTCCCAGTTACCGTTAAAGGTCCAGGGGGCCAAAACCGTCTTAAACCACCTTTTTTTTAATAGTCCATTTTACAGTTGCGTCCTAGGTTGCCAAGCCTTTGAACAGGAGTGAGGCTGGTGGTTACCTTGTTATGATGCAAACGTTGCTGCTTTCCAAATGTAAATTTCTTTATTATCATGCTAACTAGACACTGGTCTCTATCACAACAAGGTCACCTCAGCCTCACTTCAAATCAAAGGCTTGGCAACTAAGTGCACAACTGTAAAATGGCCTATTGTAATGGGAAGTCAGATACAATACTAATTTATAGAAAGATGTCTTTCGTCGAGTCACGAGCGTGGGACAAAGAAAAATTTTCAAGTCCCCATGAGGTTCATTGGTAGAGCATTGGAGCGCTCGTGACTCGACGAAAAAACATACTTCTATATTTCTTTACCGGGCCCAAAACTAACCATCTTTCTTATTCGAATTTTTTACTGTATTAATTTAGTCCGTGCTCCGACATTTCTGTGTCCGGAGCATAAAACTTTCACTGTCATTTATATCACATCTAACCTCTAAAGGGGTATCTGTCGGCCCAGGATCAATCTTATGAACTTAACAAAATCGGACAAAATGTCAAGATTATTAACTCTCACTGTCTAAATAACGATATTCACCAGAGTTTGGTTCTCTTTCTTATATCGAACGCAGATAGCCTGCGTCAGATTGATCCCCAAATGAATTTTTAACACAATATGCTGTAATGAGGCAATCCCCAGTGATTGGCCAATTTGCTGTTTTCGATAAGAGTACTGTAACACTGCATTGCTCCTTTTCCATTAGAAAGAACCCCAATACACCAAAAATGTTGCAGATGGTTCGGGTTCGAAGCTTGATCGGAAATGGTTACAACAGGTACGTACCAAGGGAGTGGATCGGAAGTGAATTGTTCCTGCTGACAAATCAGACTGTGGCCAACGGAAGCTGCTCAAGTTGGCTACAAAACCAATCGTATTCTCTCATGAAAAGTGAGTACATGATATGTTTTCTTGTAATATGTCCCAAACGAACATCCAAATTTAAACTCCCGCGGTCTGATTGCAAATTCTCCCCTCTAGCTGTTACTCCTTTCCTTATAAATTAGTCAAGAGAATTTGTTTTTAGGTCAAGATGACAACTTTTACTTGATAACTTTGAGTTTTCTCATTACCTGTTTGCTGGATAATGTAAGGATATTTGGGGGGAAGTTACGTGTTAATTACTAGCTTCTGGCAGTTAAAGCGCTAAAGTGAAGTAGCTGCTCTTTGCTGGCGTAGCAGAAGCGTCGGTAAGAGTTGAAATTTTATTATTATTTTACATTTTTCAGTAGCAGGTCATAGCAACTTAACACCTTGCCCCAAGACTCGTCGACAGATGAACGCAGATAATGGACTTTTCAGGGTGCACGACTTGTGTAATACAAATATCTTGCCCCTTTGTAAATTCTACTTTAGGAAGGTTGACATATGCTACAAAACAATCATTACGAGGTGAGTAAAACGTTATATGCGTAGAAACTGATTACTCTGACTCAAGTATTATCAAACTTTAAAATGCTCCTATGATATCTCTTTAACAGTTTCCTGATTCCCCCTCTCTTATATTTCAAATATTTGATTTCTATTTCTGATTTGTATATAACAATTATATATATAAAGGGGGTAAGTTTCTACAGAAACTGTGGTGCTGCGTCGGTGAGGGTAACAAGATAATTTGGTTATATCAACTAAGTTGAAATTATAAATTGGCAACTGTAACAAGTTAAAAAGCTGACGTTTCGAGCGTTAGCCCTTCGTCAGAGCGAAAGACGAAGGGCTAACGCTCGAAACGTCAGCTTTTTAACTCTTTACGGTAGCCAATTTACAATTTAAACTAAGTTGATATAACCAAATTTTAAATGTAGTCTAGAAATAGAACCCTGGACTCATGATTAGGGCTGTGATGCTTTGAGCTCCATGAACGGACCTCCCTGAATGATACATGAACATTCTTTTAAGATCAGAGATGTTTTCTGAATAAAGATGTCAATTTATCTTCATCAATCTCACCACAAGCGGCAAAAACTCGTGAGTGCAAAGAGCACGGTTTACTTCTTTAAAGCTTGAACATACCTAACCCATTCAAACACCTTTATTACTGTCTTTAGCACGCCTTTTTACTACTCTTCATCTCGCTACCTATTCTTTAGAATTGTAATCTTTTTAGGGCGACTGAGAATTTTACTCTTAAAATTGTTATATTAATACGGACCTGTTCACATTCCGCGAGGGCTCCGAGCTATAGTGTTATCGCTACATGTTTAGAGCGAAGTTCCTTAATTTGAAGTAAAATTGAACAGTCACTAAATCGGTTGTGACCATTTTTATATCCAGAGTTTAATCATTGCTTTTATACGTGTCTTCCAGCGATCAAGGAATTGCGAGAACGTGTTGCTATGACAACGAAGGAGAATTGACCGCTGGACCACCTGGCGAGTTTGTAAGTCAAGCCAAACATGCTGTCGCGAGCGGATCAATATTACCTTTTATATGGGACAACAAAATCGTTCCTTATTTACAGTGCTGTATGTTTTCCAACAATTGCTTGAAATACGAAGAGCTGACGACATCTGAGGCGCGATATCTCCCACCCAACATTGGCAAGTATATGACTCGGTGTTGTAGATCTACCAAATACGTATTTAAGTTATATCCTTAGGAGTTATCACTTGTATGCAGTGTGTTGCTCTTCTGAGACAAACTCAGAAATCCCTCTCTAGATTTCAAGCACTGAATGTAGCTTATGAGGTACAGGGGGAATTGTAAAAATATGGCAAAGCTAGGCTGATGGGCGCATCAATTAATTTCTTTAAATTAGTTTTATTGCATTACGTAGGAGGTTATCGTTGATATTTTTTCCTTCAGCTTTTGCAGTTAAATAAAATCCCACGAAACGTTAGACTTAAAACGATTTTTTCTGTAGACAAATCTAAACCAAACTTTATTTTCAGTTCTCTATGAATTATAAAACACTTACCTATCTTGGCATAACCAATCACAGTTGGTGGAGGGTAACAATTGAAACTTTCATCTCAGGTTTTATTTTTGAGGAATGATCTCAACTCGTAGGCCATCTGACATAAAAACGACATTTCATTTCGAATTCAGGAGCAGCATTCGGTGATCCTCATATTCAAACTTTGGATGGTGTAGAATATACGTTTAATGGTTTTGGCGAGTATACAGTCCTCAACGTGAACAATACTCAGTTTCTTCTCCAAGGGAGAATGCAGCCCTTGAAAGCCAAGAAAAATGGAGAAGCACCTGCAACAGTATTCACTGCGTTCGCCATGAAAGAACAAGGAAGCAGCCTCATTCAGGTGAGTTTTTCTCAAGTTTCAAACTGCTCAAAATTGCTGAATTCTCGCTGAATACGTTAAGTTAATTTATCAATGGTGACCTTTCGTCCCTCTTTACCTAGTTCAGCGTAAGTTAGATGGGAATGGGGTAGGAATGTGAAAATAAAAGTTTTTCAAACAATAACTATTCAATTTAAAGGGCTTGCAGCGATTTGGAATAGCAAATCAGAACGGGCTGTGCCGCTGATGAAAAAAAATCTAAATTTGACTTGCAGTGTGTTTTCTTATCCTGTAGGTGCAACAAAATGAATGGCAATCAATAGACGTTCTTGTCGATGGAAAATTAATCGCTTTAGGTCACGAGCTGCAATCTAAAGGGGTGTTTATAAAGAACAGCACACGGGAAAACAATCCGAGAGTGATTCTTGCCTTTAACTCAGGAATTACTGTGTATGTAGAAAATGCAGCACCAGTTCTACAGATGGCAGTGGTTGTTCCTGTTAGGTTCAAAGGTGCGTGAATTCTTCAGCTGCAAACCTAAAAATGTGTGTACAGGCCTTACGTAGCAAAGCTGGTCAATATTTGCCTTAAGAACGATAGGGGCTTGACTAAATTACTAAATAACTAAATTACTAAATAACTAAATTACTAAATAACTAAATTACTAAATAACTAAATTACTAAATAACTAAATTACTAAATAACTAAATTACTAAATAACTAAATTACTAAATAACTAAATTACTAAATAACTAAATTACTAAATAACTAAATTACTAAATAACTAAATTACTAAATAACTAAATTACTAAATAACTAAATTACTAAATAACTAAATTACTAAATAACTAAATTACTAAATAACTAAATTACTAAATAACTAAATTACTAAATAACTAAATTACTAAATAACTAAATTACTAAATAACTAAATTACTAAATAACTAAATTACTAAATAACTAAATTACTAA